GAAGAATACTCTTGTTTTCAATGCTTTCGAATACTTCCTTAATTTTTGTTTTGCTGTAAGTTCACTCAAACCTTCACTTTAATTTTCGGGTACAAAACCACCGTAACTAACAAGTCATTCAATGTGCATTTGGAGTGAGCTACCAGACGTTAATGTAAGTATGAGGTCGATACTCATCATTCATAGCCACATAGTCAAACTGAGGGCCAATTACGCAACTAGAGGCACACTGAATGATAGCAGCTCTTAAAGCAGAAGTTTGCACGTTGTTTCGCTGCCTTTGATTCCCGGTATAGGGTGTTCATACTGGTTAGCGGAGCCCTGCAGTATACTACTTGACATAGTATGCCAGAGGCTAATGGTGAGTTCACCGCTGTTGATAGTAGAGCGAACAATATGTAATATGTAATCTTTCTAAAATGATTAACATTCCTCTTACCATACTTCGCCATCATTGCGTGAGAGATTTTATAATGCCGCGTTCATAGTTCGTGCTTGGTGGATTAGGATAGTAGGCGATAGGATATTAGTATGGTAGTAAAGTAGGAATTCCACTGAAAGGAGTGGATACGTCGAATCGAAATCGCTGTGGAGTATTTATTAGGCGGGGTGTGCTTCACTGGGACAGAAGGTGACATTTCGCGTTCCGCAGCGCGAAACATTCTCGCAGTAAGAACCTCGGGTCCACTGATGATCAGCAGTGGACCTGTGTTTTCGCAGCGAAAAATGTGTCACGCTGCGAAACGCGAAAAAGTACGCTTTCTGTCCTAGTGAATCACACCCAGTTATATAAACCGGTGCTGAGTGGGTTGAGGGGGAGGGGGGACCACGCGGGGGTGGTTCTCTAGACAGAAAGCGACTTTTCTGCGTTTCGCAGCGGAAACACGCTCACTGCGGGAGCTTCGGGTCTACTGGTGATTTGCTGCGGGAACCACGGGCCCACTGATGATCAGCGGTGGACCTGAGGTTCTCGCAGAGAAAAATGTTTCGCGTTGCGAAACGCGAAAGTCGCTTTCTGTCCTAACGAACCACACCCAGAAACAACCATAAATTTGCCTATAGATTAAGTTTGATGCCCTGATTACGAAAATGGCTTCCATTTTTAGCCATGGCGCCATTTGGTGCCAACTGGCGTCACATTGTTCGACACCTGTTTTAATCAAATTTGGTATATAAGGGTTAATTGGTGTTCATTACGAACATGACACTCTCCGCGCTGGCGCTATTTGGCGCCTATTTTCTGCTCGTCTGCGCCAGCAACCACAACGTTATGGGCAGAAACGGGTGTCATATTCGTAATCAGGGCATCAAACCCTTATAAAGAAGAGTCTTTCCTCTTTTTCTTTCCTCAGCTCATTCGAATGGAATTCCAAGGGATTGAATGCGGGGTTGTAAAAAGGGGATTAAGTTAGTTAGCGCATGCAAGGGGGAGTCGTGCCAAATCACCCATGAAGGGGAGGGGGGGGGTCGTAAAAAAATTTCCAAAGAGTAACATAGGGTTGACCCTGGTTCCATCCCCTTGTTGGGGCTTGCTGCACCCGACCCCTGGAAACTTTCAGAGTGGTAAGCCTGGAAAGCCGCACGGTGCATGCAAATGACTCATGTGAGCTTGTGAAACAATACCGAAGCCGATAAGGCAAAAACTCAAAGATAAAGTGCCACACACAGCATCCGCACGTACTATCGGCCAAAACTGACAAATTATCGACATACCATCCACGCACAATACGCTGGTTCGACATAATCCGCTAATTTGTATTAGGTGTTTCAGAAAGATCTGTCTTTTGTGACACTCCACTTTTGGATGCTTTATTTCCCTTGAAATCTAGAAAGCTGCAATTGATGTTGATATCATTTCAAGAGCTTTTTCAGCTCTATCCAATGCTCAGCTCAATTTTACCCTAAAGTATTTTCTTATAGCTTTTTCAAAGCTTTGAATGCAGTATGCTCGATGAGCAAGCTGGCATGACTTTCTTTTTCTAGCTTTAAATAGACCTGAAAGTGGCCTAGATGCTTTGGGCCTAGATTTGCAATAAATGTGCTCAGAAGCAGTAATTGAAAAATTTTTGTAACGAAGGCGAGAGCCTTGAGTATGATGAGAGCAGTGGTCGGATATCGGACGGTGTCTCCGATTAGCCAAAAGTTCTGATTGAAGCACTCGTGCGTAAGACCATAGAGGAGGTTCTGCCCAACCTGAGCGTGTATAGTTTGTACAGCCAAGCTATACGGAAGAAGCTGGAAAGTCCAAAAAATTCGACAGGGGCGTGCCGCGACAAATCACCAATGTGAAGCATCGTCCATCAAATTGTCGCTGGCTTTATGTGGTAAAAGCGACTCGTTTCTCTACAGATTTGCGACGTACAAATGAGCGGATTCTTCCCCTAAGTCCACGAATGTTTGCTGAATAGATCGACGGCGATGAAGCTCTACAAACTTTGCAGAATTTAAAGTGTGCTGGAGGAAGATTGAGGGGCAGCTTTCATGGGGTCAGCGGCTGGCCATGTTCTTCAGTATCAGATGGAACTGTTACAGTGGAAAATCACTCATTATATTAAGTCAAAAATCATCAAAAACTCTAGGGCATGGGTCCAGCATTCCTCATTATAAAGGAACGCACACATCCCTGAAAGGTGTCTTGAACGCACATCGCACGGCCAACCCTTCACAAGTTGTACCAGCTGAACTTCAAAGCGGTTCTGCGAACATCTTACTTAGTAGACCTTTGAACTATCCACTGTCAAATTTTTGACGATCTCGATAGCTTCCTTGAAGAGAAATACATCAAAACCCAACATGATGCTAAAACGACCTTCCCTCAGTTCATCGCCTCCAGAGGTCCAGCATTCAGAACAAACGTACCCAGTTAACGGCTTCTTATAGAAAAAGATTCGCGCTTTCGAATGGCTTTTTACTCAACTCGAAAGGTTCAGTCTAAGCCGAGATACGTGTATCTAAAATTAGGGGTTGGAAAACGACAGAACTTTCTGAAACGCCTAACAGAATGTTTTAAAGACTGCAATAAATAGGGCACCCCTCAGTAAGGATTTTCAACAGTTTTCAGCATTTTTATGACCACAATTCGGTGCTAACTTAGTTGCGGGGGCCACGCGGCGGCGCGGCAGTCTGCTCACTTGGGCTCTTTCGAGCGAGACATTGTAAACTCGATCATTCCAGCTTTTCACGCATGTCAAGTGACTGCCCTCACCCCCCACCCCCCTAGACTGCCTACACTCCCCCCTGGCCCACGGATTTCCGAACATGCCAGGCTGCCGCGCCGCCGCGTGCCCCCCCCCCCCCAACTAAGTTAGCACCCAATTCTACTACTTTACTAGGAGATAATCAGTGCTGAAAGGAAAAGGGTAGGCAAAACGACAGTTACAACACTTACCCCAGCATTTAGCGTCACATCTGAGTATTTCATGTATCAACTAGACAGTTGCGACACATGTTAAACCCTGCGAAAACTTTGTTTGTACGAAGCACAGCGAAGAATCCCTCGTTCCAGATTCCGTGACACATGTTTGGACTTGTGAAAGATAAGCTTATCGTTAGAAATTAATATTGCTCGTTCCCGAGGTTCATGCTCGTCAAATGTGTAAAAAAAACAAACATCGTAAGGAACAAAGTATGACAAAGCATCGAAAACTTTTTGCGAAAGATTGTAGATGTAAGTAAAGGAAAAGCTTTTTGCAATACATTTACAAATCATTTGTAGAGAATTTTCGAGTGTTTCGCAATAAATACCCAGGGTGTCCATTGTTTTTACACACTTAATGAATCATGTTGATAGAAATATGCAGGTGTTTTGCTGGGTGCGCTCGAAAGTCGTCAGAGATAACAATTCCTAAGGGCGCACGCATAGTCGGTCGTCCGACAGCAACGATCGCAGCTGTCTGACTGTCTAACTGCATATAATCCTCGAATACTCAGGCAAGTCCGACGATCGATACGCATCCGATGCTGTGCGACAGTTACGATCGTTGGTCGTCCGACCGACTATGTGTGCGCCCTAACGGTGCACCTTATTTCTAACCTAATGCTTACTTACTACCTAATGCTGCACACGGCTCCAGCACACGGTCCTGGATACTGCTATAGCTAGGAAGAGTCTACAATTGATTTTTCAATGAACTGAGTAGAGGAAGAAAAGCAAAATTTTGCGATAGCACGTGTACAGAAATGAAGATTCAAACCCCACCATAACGAAAAATAGGAAAACTGTCGCATCCACTAACAATCTTAGACCGACGTCATAGTCGGCGACGGGCGAAGCGTCGCTTGGTCCGTCGCTTGCCAATCGCGTGACCGAGAGCGATGGGCGAGCGATTGCGCATTAGCTTGCAAGGTGCACAAGCGACGGCCGATGGCTCTGCTCGATCGATACCGCAGCCGACTGCATCGACTGGGGGGCGGGGCCAATCGCCCATCGCCTGTGCACTTTGCAAGCGATTGCGCAATCGCTTGGTCCGTCGCCGACTATGACGTCGGTCTTAAGGTGAAGTGATCGGTTGCTCCCTGCAACTCTGCAATGACGACTGAATCAAAGAATCACTGGACTCAGTAAGAGTGAAAAATACGGGACGATGGCCAATCCGATCATTAGATTTCCTCACGGAAACTTGTGCAAAGAAGTATTTCCTAAATCTCAGACGAGAAAAGTGCACAGATTACTGTAGCCCGCGACCGGGGAAAATGAACAAAATGCTAGCACTCGCTCGCTGAATTCATTCGTCCGAAAGATTCAAGAAGGCATTCAACAGAGGGACTTGGTTCAAGCATAATTCAAAATTTACATTCGATCACTGATGCGATGCGTCGCATTGTTCAAAAAAATGACTTTCTTCACTCAAATAGCTCCTACTCCTTCACTGTTACTCAAGAAGAAAGTTCAACAGCTTACGACAACATAAACCGGGTAAGAAGAAAGCACGTCTGGTCAAACAAACAATGTTGTGCTGTGGTGATGAATTAAAAAAAAAGATTTGCCTGGTCATCTTACCAGAAGCTATGCTTTGTGTTGTCTGAACAGACAACACACTGCGGCCACTTGATCGGCGACTTCGAGTGTCGTCGGCGTCATTGCCTATTTCATCGTTGAGCATCGCAATTAATTCGTCGTCTCGTCTTTCGCGCTCACTGACCACAGAAGTCGATGGAATGAAACTACAGCTCAATAATTCAGCTTCTTTGAGGACTTGTACGTAGGGTAAAGCCGAGAAATGACTAGAATAGCTGTACTACCTCTCATGAATTCGCTTGCGTCCAGGAGCAGCACCTGCAGCAAATTCTGAATGGGTTCGTGATGGAAGTGATGGTCCACTGCGACCCATCTCTTCTGTATGAACTTCGCCATCACCTTCCTGAACATATTTCAAGCTTCTAATCTAGCTCTAGTAAACATCGAAAAAAATGATTGTGCTTTTTACCATAACTTTTGCTACTTACCAAGAAGCAGAAGGTAGAGGGGCGGAGCTGTGGTGCAGAGCGGCTTCCCCACCTTCTTCAGGGCGCGTGCATAGTCGGTTGTCCGAAGCGACGATCGTAACTGTCGCGCAGCATTCCATGGGTGTGGTTCATTAGGACAGAAAGCGAATTTTTCGCGTTCCGCAGCGCGAAACATTGTTCGTTGGGGGAACCTCGGGTTCACCGCTGATAAGAAGAGGACCCGAGGTTCCCGCAGCGAATCATCGGTGGACCCGAGGTCCCCGCAGCGAATCATCAGTGGACCCGAGATTCCCGCAACGAGCAATGTTTTGCGCTGCGAAACGCGAAATATCCGCTTTCTGTCCTAATGAACCACACCCGCACATCGACCGTCAGACTTGCCTGAGTATTCGACGATCGATACGTATTTAAAGCTGTGCGACCGTTACGATCGTTGCTGTTGAACTACCGACACGCGAATGTAACTTCAGCACCAGGCTAGAGCTATCGTAATCCAGTCAGCGCGCCAAATAAAACGCGTGCCCGACGAAGGTACACACTAAACAGTGAAACTGGCGCTTAAATGTTGCGCGAACAGTGTACGCATTGCGATAAGCGCGGTTGTTTCCCGTAATCTTATTTGCACTTATCGGCGGCCTTACTTGTGTTCATCGAGCGCTGATTTATGTAACAGAGGGCTCTAGCTTTGTGACGACAACGCAGCGGTGTTACTAGAGCGAAAGCTTCAACAGAATGACAGAGGGAAACTTTGAAAAGAGGTGTCGTAGATGTTAATGGATAAATTAAGAGGCAGCGAACATAATACTGGCCAGAGGGTTGATGACGTATGGCACTTGGGAGGTTGAAGGACATGTGCATGGAGTACACACTTGTTCAGCAATTTTTGTGGGAGTATCGATCAAACGGACTAGCAATTATGTAGTTGACTAAGGTATGGAATAAGTTTCGGCTCATTATATGAAGTAGGTCGCAAGTGCGCTTTCTGAATTGAGTGTAGTTCTTACTAATCGTAATGCTAGGGTACGAGGGCCAATTAGTCCACCAAGCAAAATACCTCCGCTGCAAACCAGAATCCTTCGCATGCTTCGTTTACATCGAAGTTGCATGAACATATTAAAAAGTGAAGCGCTCCATCTTGATCTCAACTACCCGCCTCAAAGCAGAACACCTTAAATCAGCCAGTGGATGTCATACATTGTCCCATTTTATCTTCTGATAACAATTTTGCTATGTGTCTGTCAGAAATATACTCAATCCTGTATTCAACAGTGTGAGGATTTCTTAGGGGCTACGTCTCGGAACTGTTCAAAGCTAAGTTAGGAGGTACCAAACGGCGGCGCAGCGCTTTTTCTATATTCATCTCCGAAGCTTAGTCCGTTGTTCCATATATTTCGAAAATGCCACGGTACGGCGAAATAGTACCAGCCCCTATGACTAACGATAAGCTTAGAGTCCTAAACAATCAAAAAAAATTTCGCTGAGACCGACGTTATAGTCGGCGACGAACCAAGCGCGATCGCTCCATCGCTTGGTCCGTCGCCGACTATGACGTCGGTCTGAAACTTCTCCTGTGTGGGTTACCGAGGGTGCAGAACAAGCATATGTCATGTATTTTAGGCGCCGGAGCCCAATTGGAGCTCCACCCTATTTCCCACCAAATTCACTGTAAACTTGTGTACAGAGTTATTTGAGACCCCGATTACAGAAATGACATTCAATTTTGGTGTTCGTGCTGTTTAACGCATACTTTCTGCTTTTCTGAGCTCCATTTATAGCGCCTAAGCCTAAGTTTGGGGGGGGGTTAAACTCTGGAGTGAATAAACCAGACAGAGCGCAGACGAGCAGAAATAGGCATCGAATAGCGAGATCAACAAAAACGAATGAAATTTTTGTAATAAAGGCCCAAATAACCCCTGTACATAAGTTTATAGCGAATTTGGTGCGAATCTTCCGTGGCGCCAGATTGACGCCAGTGCCAAAATGAATGTCATATTCGATCAGGACCACCGATAACCTCCACAGTGGCAGTTTCGGCGGAAAAAATTTGACTATACATATAAACTCATGCACCCCTACTGAAGTTGTAATAGTACAATAGTGCTGGGATTAAAACTATACTGCTCTTCTAGAACTGCTTTATACTGAAAGAGTATATCAATGAACCAAGCTTCTCTCATTTGTGACAGAAACATTTTGAATACAGTGGGTCACTCTACTCTTGCTTAAGAGCCTAAAATCAAACACTCACATCATTCTTCAAATGAGCGTAAGAGCTGCTTCGTGCGGGCTTCGAAGTGTTCGTGCGAGCCTTCTGGTTTTGAATGGCTTCACTGGTGGTTTGATCGAGACGATTCAAAAGATCCTCAGCCTTCCCAGCTAGATCAGAAACTTTTGTTATCCACGACATCTAAAAACCTTGTATTATTACTTAAACACGAACATATCGATGGTAGACGTGGTTTTGGACAAGGCGCCTAGTAGAGTGTTTGTTCGCGGAGCCTCAGACAACGTATTAGATTTGACGCCGAGTTAGCATGGTTCGATGGGGAGGCGGTCATGTGGCGCGGCCACGTTGCCATTGGGGCACATGGGCTATAGTTGCCACCCAGACGCCGCCTATATCCTGGGGCGGTATTCAATCCGGCGCTATGTGCCTCGGGGGGGGGCAGTCACCGCGCGCGGCTGTGCGGCAAAAGGAAATTCGAACATTCCAGCTTCTCACGCATGTCATGTGACTGCCCTCACCCCCAACCCCCCTGGGGCCGTATGCTGAATGTTGGGTAGGGGCTGGGGTCCCCGACCCGCGATGCTGAATGTTGGGGCTCCCAGCAGAGTTTCGTCGCGGGACCTACATGTGACTGGCCGGTCCTTTAATTCGGTGCTGAAGTTCTTGTCTTTTCACTACTCTAAATTACATAATCGTCCACGCACACATTGCCATATTGAAGTAATACACCAATATGGCACGAAGTAATTGAAGGCGCGAACCAAACCTCAGTCTAAAGTAGTGAATGGACAGACTGGCATGATTGCGGCAATGTAGCTGGACGTACACGAACGCTCCAATATGTGAAAGAATCAAAGGATAAACTAAAGCAATTACAACAGCATAGCTGCATTTACGTGGACAAATCTACAGTGTAAAACAGTAAAAAAGCGAAAAAGTAATCGTAAAATCAAAGGATCGGTCTGTGGCCGCCCGGTCCCGCGACGAAACTCTGCTGGGAGCCCCAACATTCAGCATCGCGGGTCGGGGACCCCAGCCCCTACCCAACATTCAGCATACGGCCCTGAATTGGCTACACTCCCGCTTGGCTCCCGAATTTCCTGTTTGCCGCACGAGCGCGCGCGCAACTGCCCCCCCCGCCCCGAGGCACATCTAGCGCCTTCAATCCTTCCCCAGGGGATATATCCCCCTCTCTCTGATTCAATCCTCTGGGGACAAAAAAGGGTTGCGTCATAGGACTAGCATACCTCTGTGTTTCTACTTGCCAGACAGTTAGAGCAGCGCTACTACCTCCACTGTAAGGTCATACTTTCCCCTGAGGGGTCGGCTGCTCTAACTGTCTGGCAAGTAGAAACACAGAGGTATGCTAGGTCCTATGGCGCAACCTTTTTTGTCCCCCCAGAGGATTGAATCAGAGTAGGGGGATATATCTCCTGGGGGAAGGATTGAATACTGCCCCTGGGCAGATAACTCATCTGGATTACGGAACCATTAGATTATCGTGGGTGTATGTCGCTTGGCGCGGCCCTTCGCAGCAACTTTGCCATCGGGATGCATGGACCGTAATTGCCAACTCGCTCCTCCCATGTCTTGGCAAACAACTCGTCCACATAACCGCTAGATTTACGTGAACGGCCGATTAACAGTGGAGCGCGCCAGAACAGCATGCCCTCACTTTCCCAATCTCGATTCTTCTTCCGGCTTATTCCCTGCGCTGACATCGCTTTGTACACTTCATCTATTAGAATACTGTAAAGTCACTTCGAAGTGATTGTATCACGATCATTTTGGAGTTGTGATATAATGTACTTAACAGCAACTTGCAGTTCATAAAACGATTTCCCTCGGTCTTTTTTGTTAAGAAAACAGCTTATACAAGTTCCGTTGTAGTTTTATGGCCAGTGGTCTTTTTCCGGACACACTTGCTCTTTTTGAATGCTGTGACATGAGTAGAGAAGTCTCTTGCTTTCGATGAATGATTAATACGTGGAGACCATTCATCACGATGGGAACATAAACTCCGGGCGATTATTGAAAAGGGGTCAGTTGTGCTGAGCATTTTGCTATTTTTCGCTCCGTCCTTCTATGAGGGGCGGAAGTGGTGTAGCGGCAAGTGGAACGCTCACCACGCGAGCGGTCCGGGGATCAAATCCTGGGTCGTGAGTCGCTCGGGCCGACTAAGCCTTCCACCCTCCGGGGTCGGTTAGCTGGCACCAGACTTGTCTGGGAGGAAAAAACGCTGACTTGTACATCGGCTGGCCCCCGCAAGTCATTGTATAGGCCACATCGCATTCAAACGCCACTACAAATGTACAAATGGAAGTAGGATGCGCGCCGCATTCCAAAAAGGGATTGATCAACGGCAAATAGAACAGATGCTACAAGTTTTCGAGGCTGCAGCTGATTTCGTGATCTGATGTGGACTCTCCAGTAAAATTTAACTGTGATTGTCATCCATAATGAGTATGACTTTGCATCCATTGCGGTCCTGTTTCATTGAATGTTCCCTTCCACTTGGATACGGAAATTGATGTTTTCCAAGCCAGTGAGTTACTTCTAGTTTGCCAGTAGCATGCCTCATCCCAGTCTCACTGTATTTGGATCATTATTAAAGTTAAAGAAGGCAACCCGGCAATATATATCTTGCAAAGAAGTATGTTCGACAGCGATAGTCTATCACGTAGCAGATTCTAGGTATCGACCAATGAGCGAAAGTTCTGGAGCTTTCAAAAAATCGGCTCAGGACTTTTTTACCATCCCAAGTACTGCCGAAATTGATCAATCCCTTTTGCAATGAGGGCGCGCATCTTCCATTTATTTTATTTATTTATTTTTATTTATTTATTTATTTATTATGACTAGTGCACTCGTAGGGGCGCATACATAATTAGTCAGAAAACCAAATCGTATAACAGGAGGGTCCTCGACTTTAATGTAAACAGCATTAGTATTCTGACCCACAGCCCGGAAAAGTTACAGGCAATATTATTGAAATCGTTGATGCTAGGTAAGCGCAATGGTCATTTCCTTGATTTTTTTTTGAAGCGAGAATTAGTACGATAAAATTTTCGTCAGCCATGGTAAAAGACCGAAGCAGAAACTTCAAGCAGGTGCTAGAGCCAAGGAATCGAGCGTGGCTTTTAGGCACTAAGGTGGCGGCTCGTTGCAGAAGCCTAGGGCGCCCTCGTTCTGAGCTCAGGCGCCTGTGCTTCAGCCTCAGCGAATCGCTGTTGTCGCATTATAGCTCGATTAAGGTAGGCCATTCGAGCGAGGGACCAATTTTTTTCTATGGAATGCTTATGAATCAAGGTATGATTCTGGTCGGATATGATGCAGCTATTGGTTTAGAGTGCCCCCGCGGACTTTAGTTGAGTTGCCCTGTCATTATCGGCGAGGTTCAACGGGCGGTATGTCGGTCCCTTTTGCGCGGTTTTTGAGAGATTTCTTTGCGTTTTCGTACTAGCGGCATCTAGGCGCGACCTTCATTCAACTGTAATGGACCGAGGACAGAATCGTGTATGCCCGATTAGTAACACGATACGTTGTTTATGTGCCAGTGAAGTCTGAAGGTAATGACATTCGTAGTGGGTATTGATGCGATTCCTAACAATGACGCCCCTGCGGGGCCGCCGGCATGTAAGTCAGTGATTTTTTTAATCCCAGACAGTCTGGGCAGTACACCCGGGGTTGGCAAGGCTTAGTCGGCCCGAGCTTCTAAACGCAGGATTTGATCCCGGACCGCTGAGCTGGTGAGCGTTCGTGGGCTTAACCATCCGCCTCATGGAGGACAAGCGGAGACGAAGAATGCAAATGCCCCAGCCAAGTGACCCTTTTCCATACGCCGGAGTTTATGTTCCCTTCAATTGGATGGATGGTATCACGTATTATCTGTCATCGAAAGAAAGAGAATTCTTCTCTTCATGATCACAGCATTCAAAGAACGTTGCGATAAAAGGTGCCCGGTTGTGTATTTTATGGCCAGTGTGGCTTTTTGTCCGGGCACACGTGCTGCTCTTTGCAATGCTGTGGACATGGAGAAGAAGTCTCTTGGCCTTTCGATGAGATGATTTAATACGTGGATACGCATTCATGACATGATGGAAAATAAACTCTAGGCGTTATTGAAAGGAGTCAGTTCTGCTGTTGATTTATGCTATTTTTCGTTCCCGTGGCCTTACTATGAGGGGCGGCAAGTGGCTGTAGAACGGGCAAGTTGGAACGCTCACACGCGAGCGGTCGGCGGATTCAAAATCCTGGCGTTGTGGTGCGCTCGGCCGCACGACTATAGCTTCACACCCTACGGGTGTGGTTAGCTGGCACCAGAATTGTCTGGGAGCGAAACAAAAACTCGACTTGTAACATCGGCTGGCCCCGCAAGGTCATTGTATAGGCCACATCGCATTACAAACGCACCTACGAATGTACATTACCTTGTGAGACTTGCAACTGGCACAAAACCAAACGAACGTTTAAAAGCGAGCAGATTGCGAATTAGGATTTGCTGTGCTCCATAGTGGAAGTGGAAGGTGCATGAATATGCCTAGTAGCGAAAAACAAAGAAATCCGTTCAAAACGCCGCAAAATGGAGACCCAATACTCTGACTCCGTTGACTCCGCATAATGAACCGAGTTTGGCAACCAAACTAAGAGGTCGTCGGCACTCGTATAAACCATAGCTGCCTTCATTACCACAGAGATCTACCTGATTGATATAGCATTCCATGAGAAAAAAAATTGAGATACGCGCTCGGAAGTGGCATACCTTATCAGAATGAGTTAAATTCAACAGCCGATCTTTTGCGGCAGGGCGTGAGCACAGGCGGAGGCGAGCACTCCTGCAGAAAGGATGGGGCAGCCCTAGGGCCTCTGCAACGAGCGCACCTTTAGCACTAAAAACGGCCAGTTCTCGATTCCTTTGGGCTCCCTAGCTACTGCCTTGAAATGTGCTCGCTTCTTCTGCGCTGCGCAGAAATTCCTATCGTAATTTCTCGCTTATAAAAAAATTAATAGAACATTGACTCACTTTGCTTTACTAGCATGCTAACGAGTTCGGAATAAATATGCTGTCTTAACTTTCCGCTTGTGGGTTAAAATACTTAAATGTGCTTTACATTAAGGTCGATGACTCTCTTTTATTACGATTTTGTGGGTTTCTTTGACATAATTATTGTAGCCGCACC